GGCCCTGAAAAAATACATCTACCTACACTTTGATTAAAGTGACAAAACAGGGAATGCGGCTGGGCCCTGGAGAAGTGGGGATGAGGACAGAAGAGACCTGACCTCAGCATCCTGGAATAGCAGGTAGGCAGCTGAAGAAGTAACTATGTTGCCCTGACATTTCTATTGCCTCAGACCCGGGACCCGGAGGCTGGAGGTGACTTGATGGGGACCGAGGGGAGCAGGTGACCCCGCAACGGCAGGCACATGGCACAGATGACTCACCTGGCCTTCGTGAGCCCGGGGCAGCGGTAGGAGATATTCTCTGAGGATGCGGGAGCCCACGGACTGTGGCCAGACCCTGGCTTCCAATCCCAGCTCTGCCCTTGGACAACTTCCCTCAACACTCCATGCCTTGGGTTCCTCATCTGCAAAGTGGACCTATTAAGAGCATCGCCTCACGAGCGTCGTCGGGAGTATGAAATGAGCGGTATTGGTGTCTAGCACAGGTTAAGTGTCATGTAAGCATCAGCTACTATTCTAATTATTTTCACCATCATCATTCTTTTCCCACTTTATTCTTCTGCCGGCAGCAGGCCCTACTCAAAGCTGCGTAAAATGCTGAGTAGAACCAACAGAGGTATTATGCACGAAAACTGCAAATTCAAAGATTAATACACTTTGAAGGAGGAAAGGGACATAAGCAAAAGCAGGTGAAGAACACACATCACAAGCGGGATGACCTCAGAACTCGGGTGGTTCACCAGAGTCTTAAGAAATGACAGCCAGCCTGACCTTGCCACAGCGAGAGTTACCAGATTCAAGGAAGCAATGGTAGAACACACTAGAAGGAGACGAAGAGAGAGTCGGTGGGCTCGGGAGACACACAGAAAAAGGAAAAGGAAGCGTCACCGAAGTAGACACTGCATTAGAAGGAATGACAAAACACACACACATACACAACGCACATGCATGGACACATGCCCGTGGCAGGGAGGGATGAGGAATCCACACAAAATTAAATTATTTTAAGGAAGATAACAGATACCAAGGGCAAAGGATAGTTAACACATACACATAATTTATGTTCCTGAGCAAGAGAACAAAGCAAATAGAAGATTAAAATACTCAATTTTAATAGTTGAAAAATTTTCTAAAATAACAAAAGTCCTTTTTCTCCAGATCAAAAGGACATGCCACGTTCGAGGAAAACAAAGGATACAGAGCAACGCCAATACATAACCTGGCAAATTACTTAACCTCAATACTGAAAAAAAACAAAAACAAAGAGAATTCTAAGGGCATCCAGAATTCACCTTGGGCAGGTAAAGATTCCGACCAGGCTCGGAATTCCTAGCAAATTCAAAGCAAGGGGCAGTTGAGCAATGTCTACGAAGTTCTGAGGTGAACAGAGTTGTAAACCAAGACTCTTCGACCCAGTCACGTTGTCCTTCAAGATGACAGGCAGCAGAGACATGGTCAAACATGCAGGCATTCTCTGTGTGTAGCCTCCAGGAACCTTTGGTTAACAAGCTGCTGACTTACACATTCCAGACAAGCCAGGGAAAGAACGGACGTAAAGAACTTAGAATGGAGAAAATGTGGAGCAAAGAATGGAGGTGACACCCAGGTTCCACTGAAATAGAAACTAAGTAACTGTGTTATTTCTGGTCACAAGACAGAATGCAAATGCTATAAACGCAGATAAGGTAAGATAATATCACAGAAGGTGAAGCCATTAAGGAGGGAGGGAGAGACAGAGAATGGATGCTACCTCCCCGTCTGCACCGCCAAGTTTCTAGCTGAAGTTGAAGCGTGCAAGGCAGTGGCTCTGACCTCTTAAAGCTTTTATACTCTCTTTTCTTAATTGTAGCGGTAAATTTTAAAGAATATCACTTATATCAATGTAGTTCATCAATTCCTTGGGCTTCACCTGTTGTTGTTTTTTTTTTTTTGTAAATCAGTATCAAGTAATGACATGTATTTGTATAACATACTTCGTTTTTATAAAGCCACTTCTTAAAGAAATATTTATGTTTGCTCAACCCACTATCTCCCACACTTATTTCAACCCAGAGATTTTCTTTTTTAACTCTGTTGTTGCTATTGCCTGGTTTGGGGCATATCACCTTTCCCGGACCAGCGCTGTGGGACCCACAGAAAGGCCTGCTCTCCTGCAAGCAAAGCTGGAGTTCCGTTTCAGTCTCCTGGAAGACAGGGTTTTCCAGTAGGAGGAAGGTTTGGGTCAAGCCATCCCTGGCCCCTCCCTGGGCCTCACTAGGACTTGCACCTCTGGATGGGCAACAGAGGTACAGAGCTTGGTCAAGGTACAGGAATTGGTCTCTGGGTGAAGTTCACTGAACGCTGTTGGTCAACTGAGCTCAAACCAGCCCAGACTGACATGCCACCAGATGGTCATCTTGAACAGCAGATACCTAGGCATCCTGAAGGCAAGAAGAATACAGAAGGCCTGGTTGAAAGCTATTATTAATCTCCCTAGCTTTTCTCTCACAAAACAGAATTTTCCTGAACTCTTAGTCTGTGATACAATTCTATTTGTCCTCCTCTCTATTTCAAGGCGTCCTCGTACCATTACTCTTCCAGCTTAGGGGAGGGGGTGAGAGCTCGAGTCTGGAGTCAGACAGACCCTGTTGCCTTCGGCACATCATCTGGCCTCCCTGAGTCTTGGTGGTGTTGGCTATAAAAAGGGGTGCTACTAGTTCCTTCCTCATAGGGTTGTGGGATGCAGTGGGTGGTGCGTGCAACGGGCTTAGCGCAGCGCCTGTCACGTGGCTAACAATTAGTAAATAGGAGCGATTATTAGCATTACACCAGCCACCTGTGTATAACCACTGCCACTCATCAAGGATACACCGACTGTCAGGCAAAATGTAGCATTGCTACCAACGTGAGAGAGCTGCTTCAGGAATTGCCACCTGCCTGTCTAGCTTTTCCTGCTTTCTTCAGTATGCTACTATTAATCAGTTACCCACGCCCTTACACAAGGGGCATAGGGAACTCATTTGCATTTGATGTATTAACTGTTCTATTAAATTAAACCCTTTATTAAACCCCAATTGTTTTCACTTCCTCACTAGTAAGTTTGGTGCTTTAGAAAGTCATAAAAACATCCAATCTCTTGATTTTACTTCTCATAAGCATTCTCTTCCAACCTGGCATATGGCCTCCGGCTTTTCTCAAATTTGCTGAACCGGAAGGTGATCAGAAAGAAGCACTTTGCTGGTATAGCTCATTCATTTCTATCACTTGCCAAAGACATGTCTGTATGTCTCCATTTCTCTATATACCCATAAAATCAGCATTATTTTCTGGGTGAGCTACCCATGATGGTCCTAGCCAACAATAAGAAACATTTTATGGGGGCCTCTTTTGTGTGCCAAAGATCCAAAGGTCGTACCATCCTCTTGACAATCCTGATCTGTCCCCTGCACAGTTTGTGCTGGGGTCTGGGGTTCTTCTGTCTCATCTATCCGCAGGTGTATAGTGAGGTGGGGAAGAGAAGCAGGGCAGCCTTCCCTATTCCTGTTCTTGCCTGTAAGGAATGGGTTTGCTTATGGATTCCCAAAGGCATCTGGACCCTGTTGGTGAGGATTATTATATGATAAAATACCTCAGTGGGGGGGGAGGGGCTTTGAAGAAGAAAGAAACAAAAAAAAATGGATTAACATTCACTTCCTTTTGAAACCTAAACAGGTAAATGTTGGGGTATGGGCAGGTGTTGCAGGAGTGTGAATGAATCCAACTGAGATCACATGATTGGACTAGGGGTCAAGTGCCTATCCCCCCCCCGCCCGAGTAGGAGGTGTATGGAGGTGCCTTGGACTTTGACAGGTAGGGTGCAGTGTTTATGGTGTCTTAGTGCTCATCTCAGGGGATAGGAAACTCTTCTTTGCCAGGAAGTACTGCCTGGTGGGTTGGTGGACCTGGGCCTACAGGTAACACCTATTAACCAAAAAGTAGTCTGGGTCCAAAGCAATGGCAGAGGTTCTGGGATTACTCCCAAATCAATATAAAATTGTCATGAATTGGCATTTCATAAGAAAATGCAAAATACAAAATTATTTATAATGGCTGATATATTCCTCATAATTGGGGAAAAAGGAGAACAAAAGTATTAAAACTTTCTGTAATAACTCTGAGCAATAGTCCTCAGGAACTCTTAACTAGCCATTTTATGCTACAATTTGCTATTTTATGCTCCAATTTGCATGCTAGAATGCATGCATTCTTTCTGGTGTACGTGACATCAAGCGAATGTGTCCACAATCTCAAAGTGGTCAAAAGTAAACATGTTTAACAATTTTTTGTGGCATTTGACTATTCTCCAACACTAATAAGATCTTGGCCAAAGTCATGTATTGCTGGCCCTTCCAAAATTATCAACAGTGTTCTTGATGTTTTAATTGTATATGATTTCTTGTCAGCAATATAAAGAAGGTCATAAAATCCTTTACTTCTTTTCCCCAGTATCAGGAAGATCTTGGCACCATTAACTGATCCAGCTTCTGACAGCTCTAGAGCACACATGCATCCTAAGGATGCCCAGTGGGCAAATGGCCAGTTGAGTTAAAGTTGGGGGCCCTATGTCAGAGTCATATCTTGTAAGTGGAATTAGCTTTATTCAAATTTTTTCATTTGGCAAGCCTGAGCACAAAATGCCTGGAAGGCATGGATAAATGATGCTTCTAGTTCCTAGAGAAGACACTGCTTTATAACCCTGTGGACCAGGCATGTCTCCACAGTTACTAAGATTTGCCCCAAAGAGTGTCTATATTTATACATTCTAACTATGTAAAATTTGCCCATGGTTGTTAGCCTATCGGGGCCCAATTTGTAAAATGGGGGCAGTAAGGACTTACTGTCCAAAAAGCAATCCACGACTGTCCAACTGTATGAGACCTATGAGTCAAGTCAGATGCCTGGCAAGTCAGAAGAGCCCAGAGCCTGCCTGGGCTACGTGCCACCCAAACTGCATTCACTGTCCATGCAGCCAGAGCTTTTTACTGCAGGTGAATAAAAGTCTTCGTAAATTCCGCAGCCTCAAAGATGTATACCAGATGCATGGAGATATCGGCAAAGGGAAGCCAAAGCAAGGGAATGCCTGAGAGACCAGTGGACCGAGGACTGCACTAAGCCTCATAAAACGGCTCCTGAGGAGGCTGAAGAGTCCAGCCTAGGAGACTGGTTTGTAAAGCCGCATCAGCAAAGCCATCCACATGATGTAGAACATTTCAAATCGTAAAGGTAGGGTCCCCAAAGCTCAAGAGCCCTGGCTTGTTCTCATTTGTTTGTTCATTCATTCACTCGCTCCCTCCCTCACTCATGCCTTCGCTTGCATCAGACTCTCCTGATTTTCCGCCTGGATCTCTGTCCTGGACATACTTCTCTTTGGTGTCCTCTGAGGGCCCGTGTGCTCAGGGCTCAGTGCTCCATCCACCTCTCTTGTCTAGCCACACCCACTCCCTGGGCCACCTCCTCTCTGTCCCACGGCTGTACATTCCATCAGTACCTAGGTGACGTTGAAATTTCTGTCCCTAGCTCACACCTCTCTCCTGTCTCCAAACTGGTATATTCAACTTAATTTCACTTAAAGGAGGAATTTAAAAGACAAGCAACAAACAAAGCACCGGAACAACCAGAAAGCTTATCAGATGGATCAAAGTGCTCATGGATCACCCATTTGTCTGAATTACGTGGCTGTGCAATTTATAATCTGAGGGCTCAGAGACGTGCCTGCATAATTTTTAAGTGTTTCATGTATAGCTGTCATCCATCTATGCTCAACACTGCATTTGCTTATGTATGCAGTCCTCGGGTTTTGAATAGGCTGTGTTTCAAAAAACCCTTTTGGTAGATTAATAGTCTGTATCTTGGGACATAGTTCTTTGCAGAAGTATGCCTTGGCCATAAGAACCTCTCGCTTTCTTCCCAATTCCCCCCTGCCTTTTCCTTGCCACTGACACCAGCTTAGTTCAGGCTTTCAAGGCCTACATGATTTCGTTCCCAACACAGTGATTTCCTGGTCTCCTGCCCTACCCGCCTCAGTCACACCTGCACAGAGCAGCTGTACTGACCTTTCTAAAAAATAGCTCCTGTCACAATTGCTCAGAAATCTTAGTGGTTCCCTACTGCCTATGGAGGTTCACAGAATTATAAACCATCAAGTGGGGCAGAATCATATAGATGAGCCTAGTCTGGTGATTGCCGAACACCACTCTGAGGAATGTCCACATCAGGATCACTGGGAAGTGCCTGGTAACAGTACAGAAAACCAGGCCCTTCCCAGAGCAAATCACCAGGGATGGGTCCCTTGGCTTCATAGCTATCATAAGTGTTCAACGTCTTGGGGTATTCTGCACTGCTCTAAGCCCCATCCGCTGACTCCCCTCTGCAACATTCCCACCAGTCTTCAGTGATGGTGAACTAGCTATTTGATAAGAGACCAATTTCATATTTGAGCATCTCTGGTGATGCACCAGGAGCTGCTGGGCCCAAGGCCATTCCTTTTCACACCATAGTGATTCTTTTTTTTTTTGTAAACAATTTTTTTAAAGATTGTATTTATTTGAGGATGAGAGAGCAAGAGAGAGAGAGCATGAGCAGGGTGAGGGGCAGAGGGAGAAGCAGACTCCGCGCTGAGCAGGGAGCTCGAAGCGGGGCTCGATCTTGGGACTCCAGGATCATGACCTGAGCCGAAGGCAGACGCTTAACCGACTGAGCCACCCAGGCGCCCTTACACCATAGTGATTCTTGTTACTGACACAGCTGGCCTGCCTCCAGTGCCTTTCTCTTCTCCCCGTTCCTACACTGACCTGAAGTTCTTTCCCTGGGGCTTATCTGGATCTGTCTCAGGACCTGGTCTGATGGCCCAGGGCAGGACAGGAGTCCCTTCTCTGGCTTGCCATCATCTCTCAAGTAGAGTCTAGACTAAGATCACAGGAGCTAGTTCACTTTACCAACTTACCTCGTAGGTCAAATTTTTATAACCTCTTCAGAGTTAAGGTGAAAATTCAATTTGTATTTTAGGAGGCAGGGCATAGACTTTGGAACCAGAATGACTGGTTTCAAATCCTACCTCTGCCACTTACTCCTGAGTGTCCTTGGTGCCTCATTTCTATGTCCATAAAATGGAAATAATAGTTATACCAACCTTACATGGTTGTGGTATAGATTAAGCATATATGTATTTATACATATATTAAATATATCTGCATCTATCACCTGGAATAGTGTCTGGCACAAAAGAGTCACTATGTAAGTGCTACTATTATTATTCTACCAAAAGGCCTACAGTGAGAACATCGACTATAATTAAAAGTAGAAATATAATCTTGTTTAGTATAATTTTGGTAACCACTTACTCTCTCTTCTCTTTAAAGCCTAAAAGTAATAAAGCTTCTCTCTGGAAAGAGAATCAAGTACTGTTTTTTGCAATATAAATAGTAAGCTACATTGTATTTCAAAAATCTCAGAATGGCTCCTGGTTCTCTAGGAAATAATCCATATACATCTCATAATTTAGAAGTCATTCAAAATTTCTGCTTTGAGCACTCATATATGCACTCGAAATCAGGAGATTAATGGATACCTACCCAGACATTCAAAAACAAAACTATATTAGTGTTCACAGCAGAACACTGTGGACGGATATTTAAAGCCCAAACCCAAACAACAAGAGACAGAAACTGGGAAGCAGCAATCGCTTCAGATGGAGATCTCACTTTCAAAAGTTCTGAGCAGCATTAGGATCTATACCCTTTGGGGCAGGCAAAGACAGACTGTCCATACCACGTGTGTAGTAAATTCATGACAGCCTTCAATAACATCCCAAAAGCTTGGTAAGAGATACTATTCCCATTTTATTTGAAATTGAGTGAAAAGGATACACCAAGAGCCAAAATTAGAAGAGGAATGGATTAACTTCCGATTTCATGTCTTGATCTTGGAAGAAATTTACCTGGACACTGTTACAAATTATCTGCATGATACAAATGATCTCAAAGTGTCCTCATTTTCAAGTGTCCAATCCCAATTTGCACTATGCCAGACACATCAAATTTGTTACTGTTACACATGTGAAAATACCATATTCAAATGTAGTTTATTCTCTTTTATAACTTGAGACCTACTCTCTGAATCCTCTTTGATCTGAGAACTCCAAGGAAATTGGAAACTTGAAATCTTGACTCTCCTTACCTGATATTGGGTCAACAGTAAAGGCTTCATGAGACTGAATCAAAGTGATATGAAACTCGAAATCTACAGGGCAGCTGCACTGCAAAGGGATAACGTATTTTTTGCTGCAAAAAAAAAAAAAGAAAAAAGGAAAAAAATTTTTCTTGATAATTAGTTCTTTTGATATCAAGGAATAGAGACTCAAGTCACATAATAAACCACCACAACAGTGACGATAGTCAACGCAGCTAGAGTAACTCCTGGGTGCCACCTGTCACACCCATGTCCCAGATATTAACTCTTCTAGTCCCATGTGGTGGTGCTGTGATCATCCCCACTTATAGACAAGGCAAACAAAGCACCAGAGAGGCTAAGTGTCCTGCCCAAGCTGACACGGCTAGTTAGTGGCAGAAGTGGGATTCAAGGCAGGTCAACTGGGCCCAGTTTCCGCACTCCAAATACCTCTGTCCACGCTGCTTCTCGAGCCCTGTCAGGTTTATTCCGTGGACACTCACCGTCACAGGGAAAGGGCTTCTCTGCCACACAATGGGCCCCAGGGAACCGAGGGAACACTGCATGAGCAGGCTTTACACAGAGAAGCCTGGGAAGCCCCTGGCCTTTCCGCAGCTTTGACCTAGACGGTGTTGAAGAAACCACACTGCCGGTTGCGTCTGACTGAAGTGTGCCGGAGACTCCTTGGTTGGTACGAAGGCCAACAAGCAGTAGAGGATCCGGAGAGCATCCGCTCCCTCGCCAAGACTAGTCCGACTTCTGAGTGTGCTTGAGGTTGTCCCTTACGGTACTCGGGAGTTGGTATGGCTGTGGCTCAGAGAGCCCTGAGCTTCTCCTCAGGTCCTCTCCTTCTATCAGGCCAAGCCCAGGTGGGCCAGAGTTTGCGGGCTGAATGAGGCATGGAGAAGCTGAGTTCTCTGGCTGCCACTTGGCATCCCCACAGACGCAGAGCTGGGGCAGTTATCTGGGTCCCTTCCGGCAACTGGACATTGAGCTCCTCCCCTATGAGACTCAGCCCTGCCCTCCATCCCTGCATTTCCTTCTGCCTACATCTAACTCCTATGCCCTCACAGCCCATCTTGCCCTCCTGCCCAGCAGTTGCTCTCTACCTCTTAACCTTTCGGTGGGAGCCTTTCTGCCAACTGCCCTTCTCCCTCCCACTTCCCAGGCTGTGTGGGAGAATGTGACTGTAATCGGGTTGAGCAGAGCTGCCAGGCGGCTAGCATGCTGCCTTCTGGGTGGTGCCCGTCCCGACCTCGTCTGCCTGGGGACTCTTCCCTCAGGACCCGCTTCCTTACCTGCCCAGTGCCTGTCTACCTGGGAGACTCTAAGTCCTATGAAAGCAGAGCTGAGTCTACTTGCTTCTCCAGCATAACCTCAACAAAATTCCAGAGTCCCGCACAGGGGGACATTCAACAAATATTTGTTGGAGCAAAGTAAAATAACTCTTTTTCCATAGTAGTTCTGGGGATACAGCACAGTTCAAATGTGGCTTTAAAAATTATGCCAAGAGCATTTTTATTTGGCTTTCTGGAATATTCTAAATGTAAAGAAAGATGTAGAGAATACTATAATAGAGATCGCTTTATCCACTACCAAGCTCTCAAATCTTCTGCTTTGGGTAAACCAAAAATGTCTAAATGTTTAAAAATGTTTAAAATGTTTAAAATAAATAAATAAAATAAAAATGTTAAAAATGTTTAAAAATAAGACATTGCAGAACACTTGAAACTCCCTGTACACCTCTCCCCTTCCTCCATTTTGTCCCTCCCCAGGGCTGACTCCTACCCTGTCTCCACTGTCCATCATTCCCATGCATTTTTATAATACCATGCATTTTTATAATGGTATTATTCCCATGCATTCTTATAATACCATTACAAATGCAGGGACTCACAAAATCTATAATATTGACTTATTTGTTTTCAACAATATCATTCTAAAACTTGCTAATGTTGCTCAAGGCTGTCTTTCTGAGATTTATTCATGATATGCGATTTTTTATCCATGATATATGAAGTACTGTTCACTCATTTCACTAGTGATGAGTATTCCATTCCATGACTGCCTCTTGCCACTTACCTACTCTCTTGCTGAAGGGCATCTAGGTTGTCGGCACTTTTTCACTATTGCAACGTGGCAATGACAATTCTTGTGTGTGACTCCTTATACCAGAGCTACTCTAGGTATACCCGAGAAATGGAATTGCTGGGTAGTAGTAAAGTAAAATTGTCAACTTTACTAGATATGGCCAAAATGCTCTCCAAAGCCCTTTTACCAATGCATATCTCCATTAGCAGCCTATGAGAGCTTCTGTTGCTTACCAACACAGGGTTTTCAGACATTTTAACTTCTTCTGACCTGATGAGGGTGAAATGGTATCTCATTTTATTTTCATATTCATTTCTTTGAGGTTGAGCTTCTTCTATTCATATGTATCCATTTGGGTTCCATCTTCTAGGAATTGCCTGTTTTTCTATGAAGTTGTTCTGTTCTCTTATTAATTTGTAAATTCTAGATATTAATTTTGTCAATTATATCCAGTGATACAAATTTAAGATAAGCATCATTATACAGAGTCATCTCTTCAGCTAACAGTGAGACCAGCCCTTCATAGGTTTTTTACCAAGCTCATCAATTCTGTCCTCACTCAGGCTCTCTGGAAGTACCCAGTCCATTTTAACTTTCTGAGATGCTTCCTAATTCTGAAACACAGGGCACATAAAGGCCATTACCTTTTCAAGGCAATTTAGCCTAACAGACACTCAGGCCCCCCTGAACATCAGCTATACCACAGCACTGGGGAGATAAAACTAACAGTACAAGTCACATATGCCCCTCAAGAAGTGAGCAGCTTTGGGTGATGGTCAATGTGAAGTCTAAACTGTCACAACGCGGTCTCTGAAGATCAGGCCAGTGACTCCCACCATCACATGAGCTGGATGGTGCTTGGGTTGGTAACCCCAGTGATCGACTCAGAGCTGCCCAGCAAGGTAAAGCCGGCTGCCCAAGAATGTTCTGCTAAGAGCTGCGTGTTTGCATTTTCCTGAACTAAAACCAAAAAAGGGCTGCTGGGGCTTTTTATATATGCCCAATTTTAAACTAATTTCAGAGCTCTGATAATTCCCATAGAAAAGGTGTCAGGGTATTTGTTTAGCGATGATTATGTGAAGCCAAGTTCCTGATGCATTAACCAGGCTGGAAAAACAAACAATGCCTAAAGGGCACAGAATTCCAAGTAACCTGTTTCAGAAGGACACATAGCAGTGCAAGTAACGCAGATTTGCTTTCACTACTGCAGCTCATATTATGGATGCCGAATCAGCATGGGTAACCACCAGAATCACAAATCCAGCACAGTCTAGATGAATTTGGGTCACAAGGAATTTCGACAAATATAAAGGTTAGTTTATTTAGAAATTTTACATATTTGAAAAAACCAGAATCCCATTAGATTCTAAGGGGACTTAGAGATTCTAAACTAAACACCCATGCTAAATATCGTTAAAAGTGATCTACACTGAAGAAACATAAATATACATATCTTTTTTTTTAAGATTTTATTTATTTATTTATTTGAGAGAGAGAGAGAGCACAAGCAGGGGGAGCAACAGAGGGAGAAGGAGAAGCAGACTCCCTGCTGAGCAGGGAGCCTGATGCAGGGCTCAACCCAGGACCCCGGGATCATGACCCGAGCCAAAGGCAGATGTTTAACCTACTGAGCCACCCAGGCGCCCCTTGTTTTGCCTTTTCAACTATAAGTCCAGGCTAACTCAGCTACAAGCATAACCTGCCATTAGGAAAAATACAAATCTAAGTTTCTATATGCATATCCCTCAACTTTTCACGATACGACATTTTGGTAGTTCATCTTGGTAACTCACCTTTCACCAAGGAAAACGTTGGATAGATTTATAAATGAGGGAAAGTCCAATGTTTTCACGACAGGATAGGCATGGATGGGAATAAGCAAAGTGTCGTCTCCCTAAAATTAATGGCGGGAAAAAAAAGTCAAGTTTACCATACTGGAGGCTATAATTTTCAAAAATGAATTTCTAGATACTTTATTTCTTATGTTGTTTTCTATCACTAAAAAACATTTCCTTAAGAAACCTGAATGCTTACATATAGCATTAGAAACATTGAGCTTTCCTAACTATAAACAAAGTGCAGGAAATTTTAAGTACATTTCCTTGAAGTGATATTCACTAGTATCCAGGAAAGCTAAAGATAATGATGCCTTCATGTAGATACAAAGACAGAAATCTACCTGCTTCTGTCTGAGAAAATTATAAGCAAACACAATCTGTAGTAACCTGAGAGAAACAGAAACCATCACAGAGTCAGCTGATCCAGATAGCACTGAATAGTTAACCATGAACTGACATCGGGCACAGAGGGCTGCTGGCCATCTTGCTTAATGTTTGACCTCAAACAAGACCTCTCCAAGCCTTGTTTCTTCCTTTGCAAAATGCGAATACTTCTGCCTTCGTTTTAAAGGTATTTTTAAGGGGTGCTTGGGTGGCTCAGCCAGTTAAGCATCTGCCTTCAGCTCAGGTCATGATCCCGGGGTCCTAGGATCAAGTCTTGCATCAGGCTCCCTGCTCAGAGTGGAGTCTGCTTCTCCCTCTCCCTCTACCCCTCCCCCCTGCTCATGCTCTCTCTCTCTCAAATAGATAAAATCTTTTTCAAAAACTTAAAAAATTTAAAAATTAAAAAAAATAAAATAAAGGTATTTTTAAGAATTAAGGCAGATGATGGCCTGAAAGAGACAAGAGCACTGCATACGTGCTGGGTATTAGCATTACCACTGAGTAGCAGGAGATGTGTCCTGGCACTGGGTACCATGCCTGCCCTCAAGACTCATCTTCTTGGTGCAGATATTCCTTCTGAAAGCCATACTCTACTTTTGTTTTTAATTTAGCTTTTCAATTTTCTTTTTAAAGATTGAAACTCATTGGTTACCAAAGCATACTCTTCCATTCTAGTTCTGAAAAATTAAATTTAGTTCCCCTTAAGCCTTCTCGACTTGCAAGAGCCGGACCTAGGAGAGCAAAGGGAAGCATAGGGGGGACCGTTTGAAGAGAGGGATTGACAGCATGTGGAGCTGGCTGTGGCTGGAGGCCACAGGATGAATTCAGTGACCTAGAAAAGCTCACAGGGACTTACACGGCCCAGCCATCTGGGGTCAGGCCACCCAGGCTCCTACCTCCCTGCAGACCCCCAGGGCTGCCTCTGAGGACATTCCCACATGACACCATCCAGTCCCTGGGGTTTGTAATCACAATTCAGGGGTCCTGCTAATTTGGTAGCCTAGCACTTAAAGGAGTTTGTTTAAGCTATTTGAAAAAGTCTTTATCAACTCTTAGCACTTCATGATAAGTAAGGTTTCCGGGCCAGGGCAGGCAGGAAACCTGCAGCAAATGATGTCTCATGGCTCTGCCCTGGTTCTTGATGGCTCTCACACCTGGGACCCCCATCATCGGACAAGGACACTCCATGCCACTCACGCTGGCTGCCCAAGGAGCACACGTGCTGGGTGACAAATTTCACACTTAATGTTCCATTTCCCTTTGTTCTTCCCTCGGGATATAAGTTTTGACATCGTCCTGTCCCTTACCCCTAAAAAACCAATTTAAAAAAAACTTACCTTACAGTGAACCCGAATGCAGTCATAATAGTATCGCCACTCATCTGGGGAAAACGTAATGGTGACTGTGAGGGACAAGCCGGGGACAAGGCGGTGTTCCTAGAAGACAAGTGGGCTGAGGTGGCAGCACACTACACACCCGTCCCCAGCAGACCCACCACACCGAAAGCCACAACCCAACAGAGAGCACCACGGGGAACACACCACCAGGCCATGCTTACCTTTTTCACATACTTGATCTGAAAGTATTTGGTTTGAGGGGGTAAGATATGCACATGTACGTCTTCATTGGAAATATTGACCAGATGCTGTGAGAGAAAGAGAAGCACTCAGAGAAAACACTGTTTTAGCTATCTGCATATTCACCTCATTTATTTACCTCTCTTCTTGCACCTAAAGGGATTTGAGGAGATAGAATTTATTGTTTAACTTTTAGAAGATCTGAAATGCATCATATACCATTTAAAGAATAATAAAATAAACACAGCACCACTTAAAAATTTTTTTAAGTAGGTTCCATGCCCAGTGTGGGGCTTGAACTCACAACCCTGAGATCAAGAGTCACATGGTCTACCAACTGAGCCAGCCAGGTACCCTGAAAACAACACCCTTTAAAGGATAATAAAGCATTCCCAAGTGCCTTCTGCCCAGATTAGGGACTTTACTAGAGCCTGCAGCCCCCAGACTGTATCTCATCTACACACCCCTCGTCCCCAATCCTGACCAGTTACCACGTGTGCCTTTTTGAAAAAACAAAACAAAACAAAACTGCCAGTTATTCTGCCAGCAAAAAGTGGGTTTATTCAGCAACAGCAGAGAATTGCAAACTAGGACAAGCGGGCTGCTGCAAACCATAGACAAGTCCCAGACCAAGGGAGACACATGGGGGGAGGGGGTGGGAACTTTATAAACAAAAAGTCCACTGGAGTAAATTGGGAGTTTGAAGTATAGGGACTTCTCACTGGCTGAGCTATGACAGTCTCTCATTGGCTGGGCTGTTGCTAGGGAAGAAGGACAACCTTCCTTCTTCCTGCTGGGGTAATAAAGCAGTACCTAAAGTATGGACTTGCAAAGTACATCTCTTCTTATTGGGTCTGTAATCACAGAGGAGTGGTGGGGTGTGACAGCCTCCCGATTCCAGTATGAACCAGGTTTCCTTTCATTAATGAATTTTCACAACTCCATTTCATCCTGTGATTCAACTAAAAAGTCAGCCACCCACCAACTCCCACAATTTCTCAAATTATAAGCCACCTATCCTGGGGGCCCGGTGACACTAAGGTGGTCAAAAAATCAGGAAAAAAGAGTGTGGCTAGGGCAGCCTGCAATCCATCCCTGGGGCAAATGGAAAAGAAGTGAGAAGTCAGGAGTTCTCCAATGGTGACAGAAGGCCACCCCTGTGAGGCAGGACAACCTGCTGCATAAATTAACTGTGTCTCTCAATAGAGGTGTTTTCCCCCTCTGCTTGTGATGGGACCAAGAACCTCGGGATCTGGGGATTTGGGCTTCATCTGGGCCAGGGGACAGTTAAGAGTCCTTTGGTTTCCAAAGTCCAGGCCAGAGGCTGGACCTGTCACGGGGCCCATTGCCCAAGACCTCATGGTCATTGAAGCCCGAAATTAAAATTCAGATGTTATCTCCTGATGAGGTTACAGTGGTGTTTGCATTTGTTAAAAGTTCTTATTTGTCACCTGCAAACATTCCTAAAGTGACCCTCTTTTGGCATATCTTTTCTTTTTTTATATAAGCTAAAATCCTTAAAAAAAAAAAAGTTCTCCAGGCTGCTCTGGACCGCCAAAGCGGCAGTATTGGTGAAGGTGTGCACTCCTGGGGCTCTACCCACAAGATGGTCCTTCCAAGAAAGACTGGGAGGGACAGGTATGCTGGGACCCAGGATGCCTGGGGCCTGTGCCCATCACACCCAGAATCCTGGGGTGGTGGGACCTGCTAGGGATGGGGAGGTAGCCACGAAGCCAGGGCCTGGAAGCCTTTACAGAGAACTCTGTCCCCATGCTTGTCATCAAGAGGGACCTTCAAGTTGGAGTCCTCAAGTCAGAGTCCAGGAAGAACTGGGAGGAGAGGCGGTTATACTGGTTGTCACTTAAAAAAAAATCCAGTAAGGACAGGGCAACAAACAAGGGTGTCGGGACTGCTTTTAATATGTATCCCAAGGGTGCTTAACCTTAGAAGAAATCAATAATCTGCACTCCCGGAGCGCTCAGTAGTCACTGCAAGATCCTAATCCAGAGTCCACACTCTAGAGGTGGCTATTCAGAGCATTTCAATCCTCCTCATTGAACTGGTACTAGAAGGTCTACAATATTAGCGTACGGGATGTTCGGGATAGATGTACTAACCAGAACTTTCAAACAGGCATTCCCGCTCTTAAACAAAAGGGACCTGAGAATCTGGTGAGCACAGAACCCAGTATCTACTATAGAGTGACCTTCAAAGACGCAGGGCTCCCTTAGGTCTTGCGTTTTGCACAGCACAAAAAAATTCTGTCAGCCGGATGGAAGGTTGGCCAATCCTACCAATGGATGCTACTACATCTGCTGCCAGCAAAGCTCCCTTGCAAGGAGCCATGGCTGCGCCTTCCTGGAGATGGCAAGTATGCTCATTCTTTTTTGCCTGCGTGCTAGCAAGTGTCATATGCACGGCAGAATTTCTTCTCGGACCTGTTTTCATCGCCATAGATATACCTGGTAGCAAGGCTGCTGGGTGGGGATCTTTGGCTCCCACCTCCCATCAGGGTCAGATTCTCAATATCTACCTGACAGTGAGAAATAAGTTCGTGGGTTTAGGTCAATTTGCAACAAGCAGTGTCACGGGCTGAAGACAAGAGGTCTATGCTCAGCAAAGCCGCTGAGCTGGCTCAGCTGTTCCAGTATTCCTGAGTGGTCCCAAGGGAGGAGACAGGAGCTGGCTCTCCAGACTGGAGATGCAGTCAGTACCTGTGGGTGCTGTGTCATCAAGGGGGACCCTCGGTGCTGGCTGTGCCACATCCTGATTTAAAAAAAAAAGGAAACCTGATGCTTCCTCCAACCTGAATGTGGCAGAGCAAATTCAAACATGCCCACTACTCATTTGTATGTGAAGGACGAGCACTGGAACTCAGTAGATAATATCTACATTGTCAAATGAATAAAAAATTACCAATAAGAAAATACAGAATTCATTTCTTTTTTTTTTTTTTTTTTTTAAAGATTTTATTTATTTATTTGACAGAGACAGAGACAGCGAGAGCAGGAACACAAGCAGGGGGAGTGGGAGAGGGAGAGGGAGAAGCAGGCTTCCCGCCGAGCCGGGAGCCCGATGCGGGACTCGATCCCAGGACCCTGGGATCATGACCTGAGCCGAAGGCAGTCGCCCAACCAACTGAGCCACCCAGGCGCCCCCAGAATTCATTTCTTAAAGAATTAAACAACATAGGGGCGCCCGGGTGGCTCAGTCAGTTAAGCATCCAACTCTTTGATTTCAGCTCAGGTCAGGATCTCGGGGTTGTGAGATCGAGAGCCTGGTGTTGGGCTCCACACTGGGCATGGAGCCTGCTTAAGATTCTCGCTCTCCCTCTCCCTCTGCTCCTCCCCACTACCCTCCCCCCACTGCTCTCTCTCTCTCTCAAAAAGAATAAATAAATAAATAAAATAAAATAAAAATAAAAAAATTAAAGGGGCGCCTTGGGGGCTCAGTTGTTTGAGCCTCCGACTCTTGATTTTGGTTCAGGTCATGATCTTGGGGTCCTGGAATCAAGCCCACATCCGGCTCCACACTTAGCAGAGTGTCGCTTGGGGGTTCTCTCTCTCCTCTCCTTCTGCCCCTCCCCCCAGCCGGCTTGTGCAAATACACTCTCTCTCTAAAACGGATAGATATATCATTAGAAAACATTTAAAAAAAGAATTAAACAACATAGATCCCATTCATGATAATAAAGGATGATATTATTTGGCTACATTTGGGGGGGCTTGTTAAAGGCTGCAATAGGGAATAGAAAACTAACACCATTATTTCAGAAAGCTTAAGGAAACTTAACTTATGTGGGCTAACAACTTTGTTTTGGGCTGGCAACATCAACACTGGTTGTCTCATGAGAAACCTGACTAATTATTTACTTAGTATAGTTTTCCAGACAAACAAAATCTTTCTGCAGAGGGAAAAAAGAATTTAAGAGGTCTTTGTTTTGAGAAACCTGGGAACCACTCTTTCAAATTTTAAAGTAAGTCAAAGCATTGATCTCACTATGAATCCAAGTAAAATGCTTTAAATGCTTTAACCAGATCTGGATCAATCTCAAATGTTAATGAACAATTTATTGTGGTTTTAAACCCACATTTAATCATTCCATTCTTGGGCAATTTGCATAGTTTCCTGTAGCAAAACCAAGATAAAAGCAGAGCTGGATTTTCCCCTTTGTTTGGCAAGAATCTCAAGGTAATTGCCTTAGGCTTCTGCTTAAATTTGCTGGTGGAAACAGGAGGCTGGCCCTCCCAAGATCTCCCAGAATGTTATTAAGATGAAATCATTTTGTACTTTTATCTATGCCTGCTTGTTATAATGCCTGATAGAAGCAGTATGATTATTTAGACTTTACACTGTATTTACTTGGAGTGAGTGAGTCTTCATCAAGTCACTGTCTTCCAATAAAGTGAACTCAGTGTCATTCACAAGTGTTTACTGAGTGCCTTCTATGTGTTAGGCATCGTGCTGTATCAAAGAGATGGTCTCTGTTCTTCAACAGAATGAAGCTTTTATCTCCCTCCCCAAACCCTACGATCCAGGTAAACCAGATTGTACACTAGTGTCCAAATATGTAGCATGCACCTTGGACCTCTCTCAACGACTTCCTTTATGCCCTGAATATCTTCGTCCCACTTCTCTTTCCTTTTGGGCTATCTCAAGTGGCTTCTCCTCCAAACTTTTTTTTTTTTTTTTTAAGATTTTATTTTTAAGTAATCTCTCCACCCAATGTGGGGCTTGAACCTATAACCCAGAGATCAAGAGTCACATGCTCTACTGACTGAGCCAGCCAGAAGCCCCCATAAGCTTTTTTTACATCATGACCAGTAAGCTCCTGGTCTAAAGATGTTCAACATCCTTATTTATTAGGGAAATGCAAATAAAACATGCAAATAAAAAAATACAAATAAAATAGTGAGTTGAGCAGACAGCTTCTCCTCTGGTGTCCTGCCTGCCCCTCCCTTGTGGTGTATTCAATAAGCTTCTCTCTCCTTTAAAAAAAAAATAGTGAGGGGTGCCTCGTTAAGCACTGCCTTCAGCTCAGGTCATGATCCCAGGGTCCTGGGATCAAGCCCCACATTGGGCTCCCTGCTCGGCGGGAAGCCTGCTTCTCCCTCTCCCACTCCCCCTGCTTATGTTCCCTCTCTCGCTGTCTCTCTCTCTGTGTCAAATAAACAAATAAAATCTTTTTTAAAAAACCAGTGAGTTGAATGGTGGCCTCAAGAAGTTATGTTCACATCCTAATACCTGGAACCTGTGAATGTGACCTTATTTGGGAAAAGGATCATTGCAGATGTTATTAAGTTAAGGACCTTGAGATGAGATCATTCTGAATTAGCCAGGTAGCCTTAATCCAATGATGTATCCTTTTAAGAGAAGAGGAGAAGACACAGAGTCAGAGAAGGCCATGTGAAGGTAGAGGTAAAGAGTGGAGTTATGTGGCCATAAGCCAGGAAACACCGGCCAGAAGCTGCCAGAGGCAAAACAAGATTCTCCCCACGAGACTCTGGAGGGAACACAGCTCTGCCGACACCTTGATTTTGGACTCTGGCCTCCAGAATAAATTTCTGTTTTTTTTTAAAGATCCTCAATTTGTAGTTATTTGTTATAGCAGCCATAGAAAACTAACACACCATACAACCCAACAATTCTACTCCTTGGTATATATCCAAGAGAACTGAAAATATGTCCACACAAAAATACATACATGAATGTTGATAATAGTGTTATTCATAATAGCATCAAAGTTGACACCCAAATGTCCATCAACTAATGAATGGATAAACAAAACGTGGTAGAGCCATACAATGGAATAGTATTCAATCCCGAAAAGGAATGAAGTACTGATAGACGATACAAGGTGCCTGGGAAACATTATGCTAAATGAAAGAAGCCAGTCACAAAAGACTACATGTTATAAGATTCCATTTACACGAACTGTCCAGAAGAGTTAAATCTATACCAACAAAAAGCCAATGAGTTGTTGCCTAGGGTAAGAGTAGACTGGGTGGGAGAATAAGGACAGCAAGGGAGCTGGGGGGTGGGGAGTGAACTGTTTATTCATTATATTCATTATTTATTATAAACAATGAGCAATTATGAAAGATAATTATTTTAGATCTACCCAATTACCATTGAGACAGCAAACCTAATACCAGGAAAAGTAAGCTCCAAAATCACTTATTAACCTTGGTCTTTCATGCTGTGTTCTAAGAAATGCATTTTGCAGGTTGATGGGTGGATTTCCTAATCACCATTTTAAATCCTAACCCTTTTCCTGAGGGGAAAAACTTGGCACCTAACAGGTTTCTCTCTGGGTTTATTCTCTCTACCCACTTCGATGCACTAAGATGCACGGAAACGGCATCCTTAGTTTGTTGGGGAGTGCCTGATAGAAACGTAACTTCACTTCCTGACAGCGTTAGCATTTCTCAGCTTCTTTCCCCTCTCCAAAAGTAGAGTCTTGTGGTGGCCGGTGACAGAGCCAGAGGGGGAACGTCGTGTACAAAGCCAGAGTCTCGGAGGGCTCATGGGAAGGGAGCCTGCCTCTACCCCACTCCACCCATGCACAGAGGTCATTTTGCTCAGATCCAGAGCCCAGTGGGAGTAGTTCTGAGATGTCCTGCTCAGTGTGACTTCAGGAGATCGATGTGAAGTCACCGAGCTTGTAGAGCTGATTTAAATGTTAAGGTCCCGGGGCGCCTGGGTGGCTCAGTTGGTTAAGTGTCTGACTCTTGATTTCATCTCAGGTCATGATCTCAGGGCTGTGAGGTCGAGGCCCGTGTCAAGCTATGGGCTAGGCGTGGAGCCTGCTTAAGATTCTCTCTCTCCCTCTCCCTCTGTCCCTCCCCATTTCCTCTCTTAAAAAAAAAAAACAAAAAACTGTTCAGGTCCTTATAAGCATAGCGTTAGGAATGCTGTAGCCACCTGAGCCCACCTGCAGGTCAATGAAGGGGACCCAGGAAGCTCCGTGTGGACTGCAGTCCATCCTTTCAACTGCCCCTCTGGAGCCTGTCCAGCGGAACTGACCCTTGCCACCCAGACCTGGCTAGAATCTCTCTGGTCAGAATGGCTGATTTAGGCATGGGCATCGGACCCAAGCAGGTGAAACAGAACACCCACGGAAGCCTCCTAGGAAAGGGATACCCCTTTTCCTGGTGGTGTAGGCTTGGAGCAAGCAGGCCCTGGTTTGGAAGAAGGCAACTTAAGAGTGAAAGTCAGTCTCTATCACTTACTAGCTATTGAAGCTTCTGGAATCCTGGTTTCCTATCTATATAATGAGAATAATAGTACAACCTCCACAGAGCTATGGTAAGGATGAAACCGAATCATGCGACACACAATCACTGTGAGACAGCAAGCACAGTTGCTAGTCCCTAAGAGTCAGTCGGCAATGACACCTGTTTGGAAAGAATGCCATGAGGAGCCTTTGGCAGGGGGCAAGTAGCTTGTCCAAGGACACTGGTGCGACTTTAAAATTTCTCATCCTAGAATCACCTTTCTGGCCCAACTTACATCTGCACTTCTGCGGATGCTGCTGCGCTTTAAATGAATGAGTAATATAAATGCAGAACACTCATGTCATTTCATTACTATGATTAATTAACCCACTTAAAAAATACCTACCAGAATCTGTTGGTGTTGTTTTTCGACTTTGTAGCCTCCAAAATGCAGTATGCCAGGTTTTGCCTGTATGACCTTATTGTTCAGAACTTTTGCATAAACCTCTATAAAAACAATGTAGATAAGTACACCATGAGATGAGACATAAAAGAAAATATTAAATAAATGAAGATCCTATTAGTGTGGGCTCTCTTTAATTTAGGATATTTTAAGCCTATGAAAGCTTCAGACAGAGGGTACAGCTGTCAATAAGATTAATGATCTATGCCAAATGAACTGTACTGCTTCTCCCTCTATTTTTACACATCGTTTGGGAGATATTATCATCACAGTACAAATTCACATGTATTGTTTATTACCCACTAAAATACTCTGCTCTTCACATTTTGTACAAGTCTTCATCCTAAAACACGAGCTTGCAAGAGCACGCACCCTAACTTTGCTGCCCTGTATAACACCGAGATGACTTGTGATGTAATGAATACGCAGTTCAAAGAATCCAAACACCAAGTGTTTCATTTCATTACCGGGTATTTACCTGTTATCACTGGATTTCCTCCAAATAGAATTACAATGTGATAGAATAATCGTAGAGCTCTGAATAATTATCGCTCTGGAGAGTAAAGTCTCCAACTGCTATTAGTGTAATGTGAATGTCTTTTTTTTTTTTTCTTCCAGTTCTGAGAAGAAGGTTAAAACAGCCGATCTCACAAAAGTGTCCAGGTCTACAAAACTTTTCCCAGCTCTTTACGAGGCAGGAGCTGAGATGTGTAGAGGAGGTACCGAGAACCCACGACACAATTTTCTCTGTGCCTTTGGTGCTTACGCCAGGCATTTGCTAGTAATCCTCACTCCAGGCCTACGCAGTGGTATTATTTCCATTGTGCAGGTGAAGGAGCTGAGACTCAACAAGATTAAACAACCTGCCCACAGCCGGTAGTTAAAAATCAAACTCAGGTCTGTCCGATTCCAACCACTGAACTGCCTCCCTTAATACGAGTGCACTGTTCAGTTTCCTAAAAACGATGACCTTTCACCTTTGGCTATCACCAAACCCGTTAGCCACAGACACCCTCCCTCATTGCTTAGCCCACTGTGATTCTTGTAAACATCTGAAACAATTGGAGCTCTTGCTCCTCACCAAGTGACCCGACATGCTGACATTGTCATCAGCTTTGGGCCAAACCGAAGAGGGCTGGAATAGGGTCCGGATGGTTGTTTCTGGGGGATGGGCAATCTCTGTAGGTTATTAGATCATTTTCTAAGTATTGAAATGAACATTATTTGGTAAAGTTTTTAAATGCTGGGCATTTTGCTTTTGTTTTTAGGGCCGCAAAATAGACCTTAAAACAGGTATTTTTCTGTTAATGCCCCGAAAGAGTCGAGTATACTCATTTGCACTCAGTAAGTTCTACGGTGACGAAAGAGCCACACCCAAATACTACATTTCCAGCATCTGCGATAGGCCTTGAAAGATGAGTCAGGAGCAGCCTAATGTGATGGTAGAGATCTGGAGATTGGGCGACCATGACTGAACACCACCTCTCCACCCAGCTGTGCCACCTTGGGGAATTCGTTTGACCTCTCTGAATCTCAACTTCCCCACCAGTAAGATAAAAATAGAACGTTGATGTTGTGTGGTTTAAGTGAGAATAACGTAGGCAAAATGATTAGCCTCTTACAGAATCACTACAGGATTTTACTAGGCTTTCCACGTGCATGGCAGGGAAAGGATGTGCATGGAAAAAGGTAAGAAGGTATAAAGTGCATGTGGTCTTGAAGGAGCAGGAGTAACGGTGTGATTGGAGCTGGGGATGAGCAGTGCACAGTGTGGGGATGGAGCTGGGTGGACAGGCTTGCATCCACAGCAGAGGGGGCCAAATGTCAAGTGAAGGAATTGCAACTCTCTTCCAAATGCAAGGGAACCACTGAGAGTATCTTAGCAGAATAGGGACAGGGCCAGCCATGATTGCACAAAGGAAACTGATGGGAGTGTGAAGGGTGGCCCCGAGGAGAGCACGAGGATATCCCAGTGACCTTGCTGAGGATGAGGAATAAGGCAGTATGGACAGATAGGTAAGATGTTTGAGGAAGTAGAAGCAGCAGAACTTGGTGACTCACTTACACCACAAGAATCTATCACGAGTGCATGGACCTAAATAGAACCATTGTTCTTTTTTTTTTTCTTTTTTTCTTTTTTCTTTTTTTTTTTATTCTTATGTTAATCCCCATACATTACATCATTAGTTTTAGATGAAGTGTTCCATGATTCATTGTTTGTGCATAACACCCAGTGCTCCATGCAGAATGTGCCCTCCTCAGTACCCACCACCAGGCTAACCCATCCTCCCACCCCCCTCCCCTCTAGAACCATGTTTGTTTTTCAGAGTCCATCGTCTCTCATGGTTCGTCTACCCCTCCGATTTCCCCCGCTTCATTCTTCCCCTCCCGCTACCTTCTTCTTCTTCTTTTTTTTTTCTTAACATATATTGCATTATTTGTTTCAGAGGTACAGATCTGAGATTCAACAGTCTTGCACAATTCACAGCGCTTACCAGAGCACATACCCTCCCCAGTGTCTATCACCCAATCACCCCATCCCTCCCACCCCACCCCCCACTCCAGCAACCCTCAGTTTGTTTCCTACAATTAAGAATTCCTCATATCAGTGAGATCATATGATACATGTCTTTCTCTGTTTGACTTATTTCACTCAACATAATACCCTCCAGTAGAACCATCGTTCTTAATAATAAAAGCTATTGTGAGCCCATAAAACAATATAGAGAAATCAGCACCAAAAATCCCATTATGCTTTCTGAACTTTGGATCCTCTGGGAAGATGTAAATTGTAAAGCAAATCTCTGTTCTACTCACTTACTTGATTCTAGAAGGTGATTAGGTACTTCTCTTCTTTTCTTAGGCTCCTCCACTAGGCTCTTCAAAAGGAGGGGGGATATGTTAGTAAATGGTTCTTCCGCATTGCTTAGCTCTCTGCTGGGGGTTTTCACCACTGCCATTTTATCATGAAAAATCGAGTCTTCTTTTTAGAGCCAAAGGTCATTTCCTGGGGGGGAAAAAAAAACAGCAGCAGTATGAGAAACCACACTTTTTTTTTTTTTTCTCAATCTTTGACAAATGTACCTCTGTGACTGTGTGGACCAGGCCCTCCCTGCCTCCCTGCCTCTCCTGGCCATTCCATTCCCATACAGGGATGTCCCATTAATCTTGTGTCACACATCACAACCCAATATCGTGCCATTGCTCAAAACACTTCCGTGGTCCTTAATTCCCTCTCCTCAAGAGCTTTTCCCAAAATGTAGTCCTGAGATGTTCTTGAGCTATTAGAAGAGGCACCTGAAGGGAAAAATAAAGGTGCTCATGATCAAATAAAATTGGAAAAGGTTGAAGTAAATAGTTAAACAGGCCTCTTCTGAGATTTCTCCAAATCGGCTCTTAGCTGCATGTGACCATGAAACCCTTTAACATTTGGAGACACTGGCATTCTTGGACCACCTTCCTGGGCCCCGTCTCTGGGGTGATGAGGAGGGAGAGTAGCCAAGGGACCTTCTCCAGCGTCACAAAGGCATTCCTAGGAGCTCTGTCGTAGGATCTAGGGTCCTGGTTCATGTCCGACTTGCTTTTCCTTAACATTCACGTTAAGTTCCACCCTCTTCATAAAGTCCACACTGTCCCCAACACCCTTCACCATTCTTTAGCAATTACCACCTCTACTACTCATTGGGTATTCATGATTTATTGCCTTGTACACGGCACTTTACAAAGCCTATACATCTTGCGATCTTCTACAGCTAAGTCTCTAAATTTGGGATCCTTGTACATGCTTTGGGGGCTGCTCTGCAATGCCTGAGATTCAATGTAAAATCATATGTGGATCTTTGTGTACTTTTTTTTTTTCCTGGAGAAGGCTCATAGCTTTAGATTCTCCACAGTCCACAGCATCAAGCAAAATACACTGACCACACAGAAGAAAATGTTTAATAATCATTTTCTGAAAGTTTCTCCTTTCCCCTTACCACCTCCCCCGCCCCTTCCTAGCATCTCTGAAGATTCCCCACTCCTCACCCGCCCGCTTCGTTCCCCTCCATCCCCTTCAACACCTGCCCCAAGTTCACTTTCAGGCTCCCTCTTCTTGGTTCCCTCAAGTTCTCTGCCTGTACTTCGGGCAGGAACAATGGCTAAACCATTTTCACGAGAGCTCCTATTCCAGCTCACTCCCTCCGGGGTGAACCCTGTCTCTTTTCACACACCCCCATCCTCGGTCCCCTCACCCCATCCTCTACCCGGCAGGCCTTCTCCCCCTAGCCAAACGCCTGCTCCCCTCAGCGCCCCTTTACTCCATCTCCGGCTAGGAGTAGGGGGTCGACGCCAGACCCACGCAGCACCCCGATCCTCACTTAACCCTTTAGGCCCGACCTCTCCTCTGACCCCAGACCAGTCTGACTGGCGGCGGGACACCCGCCCGGGGTTCGGGCTGCCTCAAGCCTGCTCAGCGGCGGCCCAGGGGGCCACGTCTGGCCCCAGGTCCCAGGCCGCTCACATAGGAGATGGTTCCGGGGCGGGATTCGGCCCGCGCCGCCGCCAGCTTCTGCTCCGAGCGTCGCCATGACGACGCGGACGCGCTCCCGGCGCCGGGCGGGGGCGGGGGGGGTGTCTGCGGCCGGACGCGACCAAACTCCCCAGGGACGTGGGGCGAGGGGAGCCAAAGATGACTTCTGGGGACTCGGAGCAGTCTGTGGGGCCTGGGGAAGAATCGAGAGCGACTTATGAGGTGCGAAGGCAATGGATTCCCGAGGGGAAGTGAGAAAGTCGGGAGATACTATAAACTGGAACCCTGCGAGAGCAGACGGCGGGAGAGGAACTGGCCCAAAGGGGCGGGGCCTCCCCAGCTCCGTGGGCGGAGCTTCCCGACAGACTTTCGTTCACGGATTCACTTAATACTGAAGTATAGTTTGTTTTACGTTTTCTGTTATGGTAAATTTCAAACATATACGAAGGTAGGCAGAATAGTATGATGAACCTTCAACACCTATCTGTAACAATGATCAAATCACGGTCAATCTTGTTTCGTCTATACATTTCCCCTACTCCCTGTACTATTTTGAAGAAAACCCCAGGCATCATTTCATCCATAAATATTTCAGAATATATCCCCAAAAGATAAAAACTCTTTAAAAACATAACCACAATGCCAGTGCCTTAAAAAATTAAAGTAATTTAACATCTTCAAATACCCAATACTCAACTGTCCCACAAATGTCATAAATGTCATGTTTAGGGGCGCCTGGGTGGCTCAGTTGGTTAAGCGACTGCCTTCGGCTCAGGTCATGATCCTGGTGTCGCGGGATCGAGTCCTGCATTGGGCTCCCTGCTCAGCAGGGAGTCTGCTTCTCCCTCTGACCCTCCCCCCTCTCATGCTCTTTTTCTATCTCATTCTCTCTCCAATAAATAAGTAAAATCTTTAAAAAATAAAAAATAAAATAAATAAAATAAATGTCATGTTTAGAGTTGAATGAATCAGAATTCAAATAAAACCCACACATTACAATAGACTGATATGTCCTTTAGGTGTCTTTTAATCGACAGATTCTCCCTCCATATCTTTTTGTTGTTGTTGCAATTTATTCACTGAAGAAACTGTTTCTGTTCTGATACTGATATTTAGGAGTTTTAAACCATAACTTGCTCCCCAGAATTCCTGTCCTGTCTACTCCACCCTGCTCACCCATGGACATTATTCCTTACACAGATGATTCAAGCTTTTCTCTTCCTAGGAGTTTTCATTGTATGCTTTGTTTGTTATATATGTTTCATTTTTTCATTGTATGCCTTGACACTTGCTTGATATTATTTATGGCTTCGTGTCGATAAGAAATTATAGTAGGAATCCAATAAGAATATCTGCCTTCCCCACACCCACGTCACTTGTGCTGTATGTGGATCCCCCCCACGCACACTGGGAATATTCATTTTCCCATCTTCCTATTCTCCAATCTGTCCCTGCTGCCAACAGCGCTGATTAAAAATCTCCCTTTCGGGCGCCTGGGTGGCTCAGTTGGTTAAGCGACTGCCTTCAGCTCAGGTCATGATCCTGGAGTCCCAGGATCGAGTCCCACATTGGGCTCCCCGCTCAGTGGGGAGTCTGCTTCTCCCTCTGACCCTCTCCCCTCTCATGCTCTCTCTCATTCTCTCTCTCTCAAATAAATAAATAAAATCTTTAAAAAAAAAAAAATCTCCCTTTCAAGGCTAGTCTGGAGATATCTTCTACCCTCCCCACAGCCCTCTGAGTCAAAAGGACTGTTTCCTTACTCTAAGTTCCATACACTTTGTTCTAGCATCTTTTTTGGCCCTTGTCTTTTTATATGTTGCACCCATTATTACTTGTGTGTCTTAAACTGCGAAATTCTTATCAGGAGGGGACTGTGCCTTATCTTTGGATCTCCCACAGCCCTTGACACAGATCTTTGTTTATAGTGATTACCCAGTAACTGTTGGACAAGTGCGTGAAAAAAATCCATTTGCTTATATAGTAGTTTGTTTCAGTTCCTTCTGTTTTGTTGCCCCAACAAGGTTGTAGATTTTAGAACAAATGCTTTGTTTCCCACAGTCCCAGACCTTTCCACTCCAGCTTAAATCATCAAATGCTTGTTTCCGTACACTTGTTAATGGGTATTAGGTAACACGTTTTAATTTGTCTTAAAATTTTTTTCTTAGAAAAAGTGCCGAATTCCCTATTTTATATGTAAAGATAGACATACAAATAGATATATAGATATGGATATAGATATAATATGTAGGTCTCTGTACAATTCACCAAATTGCATATTATAGTGGAGTGGACACTGTTGGTTGTCCACTCCCACCTTCTAGCTTGGGATCCTCCCCAGTCCCAGTTCCCCAGATCCCCACTTCCAGCAATAGATGCTGATTAGTCTATGTCAGTCACAGAACTCCCCATCCTCTTGCCAACGACTGATTTACCGTTGAGTATGTAACCAGTTCTGGCGACAGAGACATTAGGGAAAGCCTTCCGGGGGAACCTCTGGAAAAGGATTCCTCTGTCCTAAGACAGAGACACACATAAATATAGTACCTTTCTCTTTCTGGACATTGTAGTCTCCTAAAGTGAGTCCTTGGAAGTGCAGCAGCCATCAGAGGCCAGGGCAAGCCTGAGCCTGAAGGTGAAGCTGGTGAGCAGGATTAGCAGAACAAGGAGACAGGAAGAAGATTCTGGACCTGGATGACATCATCTCACCTCTGCTTGCCTGGTACCTGCATCCCATTTATCTCTTTTTTTCAACTGAAAACATACAATGATTTCTTTTTTTTAATTTAAGATTTTATTTATTTATTT